GATTTTCCTCCCTTGGTTTTTGAAACCCGGGGAGGCGGAGAGCAGAAGGGAAAAGCGGGGCGAAGCGGCCTTTGTGCGGCTTTGCAGAAACCGCCACCTTCAGAAACTTTCCCCCACAACCCTCTTTGTCTCGTCATCGCTTCCGCGTGATTGCGCCTCCTGTCCCGAGAGCATCGTAGCCCCCTTCTGAGAAGATCTGTTCTCAAACGCCCTCTCGATCACTCCCCCCCAAGCCTTAAAAAAAAACCTTCCCCCCCCCCCCCCTTTTTCCTCCATTCCTCTCCTCACCCCTTTTCTCGCCTTTCCTTTTCAACCCCAAAAAGAGTCTGACCAAATTCAGAAATCCCATCGCAACGTCGCCCGCATCCAGTCCCCTTAATATTCTAAATTATCCTCTCTTTTTTACAAGTCCGGGGTGGCGGGGAGAGATCCTGAGTTCTGTCTTGCTTAGGAACTTCACAAAAGCCGCCCGACTTAAACCAAAAAGAGGACCTGCAAATAGTTTTTTTTTTTTTGCGGGGGAGCCCCTCAACCTTACAAAAGAGAGGGAGAGAGAGAAAGAAAGAAAGAAAAAGAAAGAAAACTCATCCGTTCCTAACTTTCCACCCCGGAGAAACTGATCTGAACTCTTAGAAAGTTCCTTTTGCAAGGACACGGTAAGACCACATCAGCGCTTGTGCTAGAACCATTTTAATATAATTATACATATCTGCCAAATCCAGAAAAAGAAAAGGTTTATGCATATATATCTCTTTTTTTTCCAATTTCACATCTGCAAGCATAAAAACAACGATGATTTTTCTCTGTTCAGGGGTCAGAGCAATTGACCAACGTCTTAAATATATATAATTTTTCGTGTTTCCCCTTTGCTGTTAGCTTTCCCAACAGTACGCTATTGTATTACAGGTGGATTTAAAAGTCCTTGTGTAGTTTTTTCTATATATTGACTGATGCTTTAAAAAAAAATCTCGGTGGTTCATTCATTCAGAGACAGTTTGTCATAAAAAGTTTTTTTTTCAGTGCAGTTTACCTCTGGTGAAAGGCAATTTAAAGAGAGAGAGAGAGAGAGGAAAACAGAAAAAAAGAGAGAGAGAGAGAGGTGGTCATATGTGACTCAGTTGCTCAAATTTCAATGTTAATTATAACCTATTTAAAATCACAGCAGAACCCCCTGCTGGTTTGGGGTCTGTAGTTGCATACAATACAGGAGATCACAGTTTTAAAGTCTAGCACAGATTAAAAACCACAGATGTACCATTTATATAAGACACACACTGATTGTCTCTTAAAAACTACATATTGACTCCTTATGGACATTATTTTTATTTATTTTTTTCCCTCTTAAATAAAATAGTGCAGCTAAGAAAACCAGTCCCACACCCCCACATAGCTCTGAACCAAGTTCTTTACTTGTTTGCTTGTTTCTCCTGCAGGCCAGCTTTGCCAAATGCTGGCCCTGAAGCAACTGGAGGAGCTTGAGAGAGATATATAGACATTGTCCATTAAAACAAAAAACAAAAAATTCAAAACCAAGGTTTGGATGGCAAATTGGAAATGGAGGAGACGGGAGAGGAAAGGGGTGCGTTGCTTCCATACCACACACGCTAAAGAAAAGGAAAAGAAAAGAAAAAAATCTAGAGAGTTTTCTTTTAAGAAAAGAAGGAATAAATTAAAAAAGCACACACCCCCACCCCTTAAAAAACTGGCCTTTTGCTGGAATCCTCTTCCCTCCCATCCAGACAAAGAAACTGAACATTTAGCTAAAACTATAAAGAACCAAGTTAAGTGGCCTGTTTCCATGTCCCCATAAGGCGTCCTTCCTTCTCCTCTTCCTTTCCAGAGCTTCTCAGCAAGAGATGAAATTGGGAGAATGATACTGCCTCTCCAGTCTTTTGTCTAGTTAGGTGTCCAGTCCACGTTTGTCTTTAATGTCCACCGAAGCCCCTGACTAGAATCACTGCAAAGTTCCACCCACCACGGGTATGGTCTTGTCTGTCTCAACAACATCATCATTATCATGATCATTTAACATCATCATCATTTATCATTATCATCATTTAGGGTTTAAAATCAGAAACTGGGCTCCTAGGAGGATCTTCACAAAACCTGGAACTTCCATGAGGACGTCTGATCTTTATAATCCAAGCAATCAGCATTGAAGTTTAGCTTCCAGGAGGCCGTTTGATCCTTATAATCCAAGCAATCGGTCGTCGAGTTAAACCCCAAACTGGAAGCGCCATAGCCCTGGGTGGAGAGTGAGGCTGGAGACTGGTTGAGGTGGCTGGCCACTGCGTTGGTGCCCATGGGGCTCAGGGCGGCCCCAGGTCCGGGGAGCTGGTGGTGCATAGGGGTCAGGTAAGATCCACAGTCCATGCCTCCGAAATAGGAGGTCGAACCAGCGTATCCTTGGCTGTAGCCAGAAGCCTGAGTGTAGGTCATTGGGTAGGACCTCTGCATGCAAGAAGAAGAAGTGGACAGGGGGTCGGAGAGGGGAGAGATGGACGCCGGGCTCCAGATGGACACAGGAGCGCTGCTGCTGCTGCTGGAAATGGCTGGGACGGAGGTGCTGGCCGGAGGGGTGAATTGCCCACTGGTCCCGCTTTCTGAGCTGACCTCGCGGGCCGGAGAACTCTTCTTCTTGGCTGGCCTGACTTTGTTCTGACCCCCATTCTGCTGCTGTTGCTGCTGTTGGCGGCACTTGGCCCGGCGGTTTTTGAACCATACCTGGGAGAGCAAGAGGAAAGAGAGAGGAAAAGATAAAGAAAGAGGAAGGGAGGGAGGGAGGACGGGAGGAAAGGAGAGAGGAAGGAAGGAAGAGAGGGA